TCAAATAGGAGTAAAAATAAAAAAAATCAATTGTCTTAAATTCGTGAAAGACTATCGGCATTAAGATGTATTTTTCCAGATCTGTGGATGGTAGTAAATCTATACTCCTGCAAGGTCAGGATCCACCTGGCCAGTCGATTCTGAGGTAGCCGATGAAAAAATAACAATTTCAACAGAATGATCTGTATAAAGTGTAAAAGGAACTCCATGAAAATAAGATCTAAAATATGAAATAGCTCAAACGACTGCAAGACACTCTTTTTCTGTTATAGAATAATTTTTTCTGCTGGGGTCAAAGAGTGACTTGCATAAGCGGTTACTCTTTCTTTTCCGTCATCATCCAATTGAAAAAGAATAGCGCCTAGCACTAAATCTGACGCATCCGTAAAAAGGATAAAAGGCTTTAAAAATTTCAGGTATGCTAAAACTGGAGCTGTGATAAGTTTTTCTTTCAATTCCTCTAAAGCTTCTTGATGTATTGATGTCCAATGATATCCAACGTTCTTTCATAGTAACGAATTTAATGAAACTGCGATTTTTGTAAATTCAGAGATTAATTATCGATAGTAAGACACTAATCCTAAAAATCCACGTAACTGTCTCAAATTTTGAGAAACAGAAAATTCTTAAACAGCTCGAATCTTTTCTGAGTTGGTTGATATTCCTTGCACGCTTACAACATACCCTAAAAATTTCAATTCTTTATGGGCAAAATAACACTTTTAGGGCTTAATTTTCAAACCTGCCTGCTTCAATCGTAGAAATACTTCTTTCAAGTGATCTAAGTGTTCTTCAAACGATCTAGAAAAAATATTAAGATCGTCAAGATACACGACAATAAATCTTCCACTTATGTCGCTGAAGATTTGATCATTAACCTCTGGAACATAGCCAGAGCATTCATAAGTCCAAACGGCATAACATTGAACTCGTAAAGTCTGTATAGTGAAATAAACACAGTATTCTCTTTATCATCTTCAAACATCTTGACCTGCCAATATCTACTGGCTAAGTCTAACGACGTGAACCAAGATGATCTATTCAAAATATCCAAAAGTTTATCAACTCGAGGTAATGGATAATTGTCTCTGACAGTTACGGTATTCAATTTTCTATAATCAACACAAAATCGCATCTTTTAGTTTTGTTGTTTAACCAATACAACTGGTGACGCCCACAGGCTAGTAGATGGTCGAATAATCTGCTCATCCAATATACTATTAATTTCTTCCTTGAGAAATCGCTTTTCTGCGGGAGAATATCGATACGATCGTTGACGAATCGGCTATATGTCTTGGGTAGGAATACAATACCGAATTATATCAGTCCGGCCCAACTCAGAGATATCTTGAACACAAAGATCAGGATTTTCTCTAAGTAACTCCAACAACTGCTTTCTTTGGTCGTCTTCTACTTCCCCTATATTATATTTAATATTGGAGCAGCTTCTTTTTTCATAGTAATAATCAAATAGATCCGATATAGATTGGTTGTCTTTCTCTTGTGCTAAAATAAGACCTGCAACAGGTCCTTCATCATATAATATTATTTTCTCATTTATTCATCTAATATCTCTTTCTTCTATCATAATTTCATCCTATTTTGAGCCTAGCCTTTTTCAAACATTTCCTCTTTCATCATTAAATTCCAAGATTGCATACAGTTGCTCTTCTAATTCTTCATCTTTGACTTCCTTATCTTCTTCTTCTTCAACTTCATCATTATCATCAGTTCCAAGGTCTCTTATTCTTACAACTCATTTCTTGTCTAATGGCACCTTGGCTAATTTTCGAAACTCAACTGGAACAACAATTTCTTTATTATTCCAAACCAAAGTCATCTCAGACCTGTTCCAATCGATGGCTGCCTTAACCTTAGCTAACCAGTCATTTCCTACAATAGCACAATACGAACCGGCATTGGTTACAACTACATTAATCGGGATTTCAACACCACCAATATTGAATGGAAAATCAGAAATTTCTCCAATAGCACGCTTGCTCTCTCCATAGATATTGCCATATTTACTACCAATAGCCATTCGATTCTTATACCAAGATCATTCAATAAATGGGAAGTAACAACACTTTCAAAAGACCTGCTATTGACAATTAATGGAATTACTTGGTCATAAACCTTAGCGTCACAATATAAAGCCGTTGATTTTAAGGTAGGTTGTATATTAATATTGGCTTGAGCCTTTTTATGACTTACGACTCTTTTCTTTTGTAAGGATCATGATAATTCTTGTCTCATAGATGATGTAACTCGTAACAATTGCCTGATAGTTATATTGGCAGGTTTATCCCTTACATCGGCTACTATCGAATATGGTGTGACCAAAGAAGAGATTTGGAGTAAATCATCCTCCACAATATTCCTTCGCCAAATAACAGGAACCTTCTTTTGACCCACTTTTACATCTTCTTTCTTTTTATTTACTTTAGATGTTCAACCTTCTTTACCTCAAGTAGTTTGGCGGATTCGTCTTGATCTTGGTCTTGATTTTGAGTAATCGGGTCTTGTAATTCTTGACTTTCATGATCTTCATGAACTTCTTCCATTTCTACATCTGGATCTTTAGTACTCTTTCCTTCTTCAAGATCGATTAAATCAGTTGTTTTCATTCTAGTTGATTTTTTCCTAAGAATTGGCATATTTACTATAGGTTTGGGATGAATAGGCCTTTCTGCTGGTAAAAATAATGACTCATCTTCGGGAATTTCTAAATACGAAGTTTGATCCCTGGCATTATTAAAAATGCCTGGATTATTATTCATTAATGCCAATAGGGCTTGCAGAGTTTCTTGAGGGTTATTTCTGTTAAGAGTAGAATTATTATTATTATTAATACTAGGATTATTATTATTATTAACTACAGGTGGCCGATTATTAGCTGAAGAGTTACGATTATTAGGTAGATCAGAACAATTTCAACTATAATGTCCAGTACGGCCACAAGTGAAGTATGTTACAGTAGATGGGGTAAAATTTCCAAAACGAGATCTAGATGGTGGCCTTCACTGATCTTGAAGTTTTGTCATAAGCTTATCAATTGAATTCATTAAAGTTTTCAAAGCCTCAGCCATTTCATTTGAACTAGTGAGGTTAAGGTTTGGGATTCTAGGGAAACTACAAGGAGAATGAAATACTGTTGGAGTTGCATAAGCAGTTTGAACAGAATTCTGTTTATAAGTATTCTCAAATACCTTTGCTCTGGTATATGCTTCTTCTAACGAATTAGAGGTTAAAGGCGATATGGCTATAAACAATTCAGAATGAAGTCCATTAATAAACATTTGTGCTTTAGCTATATTAGGGTACTGATGCCCGCCTGACTCTACTCGTTGAAGCATTTCTTCAATTACTGTGTGGTATTCATCCATGCTTTTAGCTGGCAACTGTTTCCTTTGGGTTAACTGCACAAACCATTTCCCTTCCAACTCAGGGGTCCTGAATTTGTTTATAAAATGAGTAGTGAAACTCTGTTGAGGTACCAGAGGGTCATGCCATCGATCGATTATGAGGTGCTGATTTCTTCTCGTAACCCACCAAGTTGCAGCAGGGCCTTTAAGCATTGGAATGAACACAGAAATCTTCTGAAGTGGTGATATAAGATTGGCTTCGAAGGCTTTATCAACATCTTCAAGCCAAGTTATAGGATCTTGATCTCCTCTATGAAATTCAGGGTAAGGTATAGTATTAAGTTCCCGAGGATTAGCAGGAACATTAACTTGCGGTGGTGGTGTAGTCTGCATTTGCTGAACCAAAGCGGCAATTTGGTTAGCTAAATTATGTAGAGGATTATTCGGATTCAATTGGGCTGGCTGTTGGGGTTGTTGGTTAATAGACATTTCGAATCTAAATCTATATTTTCTTTAACGCGAATATCTTTTTCAATCCACACAATCGGCACCAAATGTTACTATTGTTTTGGGAGAGCTTATAGAACTATCAGCACAATT